CAAAAGCATTTTCGGCAAAGTTTCGGGCATATTACACCGGGCCCCTGGCAGAGGGCACGCGTGCAGCGGCAAAGTAACTTCCACTCGACCACATCACACGTTCATGTCAAAGAGCCGCAGATGCATAGTGCAAAACGGCTAATTTTAGCGGGTACAATTTTTTAGCGTTTTCTGAATCAGGACCGATTCGCAAAGAAATATTATATGTTGCAGGCAGTGCTGAGTCGGGTAGCATTTTCTGTTTTCCACGGGTAGCACGGGTACCCGATCATGGTAACACCACAATGCACCACTTCCCTTACACACTGGGTAGACATGCGGAGTATTACGTGAATTTGTACACGTGCACTGTACATGATGTCATCTGCGACTTCGGGTTTTCGGGTACCATTCGGTACCCGTGCTACCCGAGGTCCTCACGGGTAGCACGGGTAGCAGCCGACTACCCGTGCACACCCCTAGTTTCAGGGTTAAAAAATGAGATGACTAGTACTGTACTGTACATGAAAATTTTCGATTGGCAGCGGAAAACAATCCTTTTCGCTAAAATTGCTAAAATATGACCGGCGATAAAATTAAATATGACCGGCGATAAAATTAAATATGACCGGCGATAAAATAAAATATGACCGGCGATAAAATAAAATATGACCGGCCGGCGATAAAATAAAATATGACCGGCGATAAAATAAAATATGACCGGCGATAAAATAAAATATGACCGGCGATAAAATAAAATATGACCGGCGATAAAATAAAATATGACCGGCAATAAAATTAAATATGACCGGCGATAAAATAAAATATGACCGGCGATAAAATAAAATATGACCGGCGATAAAATTAAATATGACCGGCGATAAAATAAAATATGACCGGCGATAAAATAAAATATGACCGGCGATAAAATAAAATATGACCGGCGAATGGCGGCGATAAAATAAAATATGACCGGCGATAAAATTAGCCATTGTACAGTAGTGTAGAACTGGGTCCAGGAATCTAACTCAATCATCAGTCGAGTATTACTGAGTGTGCCAGTCCTGCATGCTGCACGCAACAACAGCAGTCAGCTGAAGGCGGTGATCGCGTCGATACCGTTTTACTCAGATCGCGCTTGTACTCCTTTAACGTGATGCTGCTCGTTCTCCACGGCGATGTAATCATTTTGCTTTACTGATTGAGTCTTGATTAGCTCGTACCATCGCTTCAGCCCCACAACGACCTAGCCATTCTCAGGGGCGTAGCAGCCGGTCCGGCCGGTCCGGCTTTGGCCGGACCACCTTTTTTTAACACAATGTCAAAAGTGCCCAGAATGCAGGATTTTGCACTCTAATTTCAAATCTTTCCCCGCGCGAGAGCCCCCGGACCCCCCTCCCCCTTCCGGCCGGATCACCTCCAACGGTGGTGCTACACGCCTGATTCTTTCACTGGAATTTTGTATTGGCAACACGGCATGTATCTTACCGTCTAGGTTTGAACACGACTGCCTGTCCGCCTTCCAACGTCAGCAGCATTTTTAACTGAGTGCCCCGGTAGCCTACTTTCGCCGCGGTGATCGGCAGTGTGGCCATGTCTTGAAGTAGATCACGCATATCACTCGACTCCAACGCCGGCCTGGGATAGAGGCGGTCGGGATCCGTCGACCACGCCCTCCACACGTCCCACTTTGGCGGTGCGTGTCGGCGCGTTCTGGGCAATGCCGTCATGGGCGGTGAACGAGTGGAGCGTGCCATGGGCACAACGCCAAAGTCCACATTAGGCCTGCTCGCTGCTTGCATCTGTTCATGATCTTTGTGTATCTTAGCATTGCCATAGTGCTCGCCCTGTGCACGAAGTGTCGCTAGCTGCTCATCACCGTCCTTGACAATACGCCGCCGAGCGTCAAACTGTTGTCCATTCTGTTGATGCTTCTGCTGCTGCTCATCAAGAAGTACAATCAAAGCGACTGTAAGCAGGCCAGTGACGACTATCAAGAGCCGCTTGGCGGAACGCATGGCGACCAGTGAAACTCGTGCGCCCTCTGACAAACTGTCCTCACACGCACAGCATCCCAGGTCGTCATAATACTCCCTGCGCACCTGCCAGTGCACGTTCTTGAAGAAAGCGAGCAGCGAGAGCAGGGACCAGCATCTTCGGTATTCGCCAGCGCAACGGCTATATATCCTCCGCACACTGACCAGCCGAAACTGCAATCGCTGGTTGCAACTCACTTCATCCAAGTGGAATGCCTTCCAACAATAAAATTTAATAGGGTGCTCGGCGTTGGAAGCCGAGCCATATAAATAATTATCTGATGCCAAACTCCCAAGGTGGTGTCGATTGGTTTGAAGTCAGGCGAGTCGACTACAGCTACCGCCTGGAGGTCCTTCTTCACTTCCCTGTTGTGTTTTCCAGTCCCCAGGTAATGTCACTGGTATGTATTGATGATACACACCGTGTTCTTCTTCTACCAGCGAAAAACCTTTTCTCGAATCGAAGAATATTTTTTTGTTCCACACTGTTAGTTTTGCAGCTTCAAAATCAAAGACAAGCTGGTATGACCTGACTCCTGAGTGGCTGAGGCTAGCTAGCTGGTGACGCCGCATGTACCGGTGCACCCTGCTTCGGACCAAGCTACAAATGGACTGTTGTAACCAAGTAAGCAGTTGCAGTGTTGTCTTGCTCCTGATCCTCGAAGGGACGTACCAAAAAAGGGTTTGCGGACCTCTTTGTCCTTGTTTTCAAAAGCCATTGATTGAACTCCAGTCCAAAAAGGTATGATAATACTATGATTACAGCAGCAATGCTGTAGTAGTGAAGTACCTTGCGAGTATTGTACAGTCTGTCTAGTCGGTACATGACATGGTCAGCATAATGAAAGCTGAGATCACCTGTCGACAGTCTTGAACTATTACTTCTTTGAAGTCCCGCCGGTGCCTGTGGCCAGCACAACACACACAATTACCTGACAGTCCTGACAGTCCGAGTCCCTTGCCATTCAATGATTGCATCTACTGCCATACCATTATTTTTATTGACTCTACTGACAGCGCAAGTGGCACTAGGCACTAGTACTATCAACCTACCGCCCGGTGGGTACATGTACATGTACATAACACTTTTATTATTATTATTATTATCAAATTTTTGATAGGGCAATCCCCACAACAGGCCTAAAGCGGGATTCACAGAAGCTTTTTTGCGATGCGACACGCGATGCGACGCGATCTGCGACGGACGCGTGCGAAGCGAACTCGCGAAATACCATTCACAGAAGAAGTCAGTGATGCGACAAAATCTTGCTGATTTGGCTACGTCACCATGATATTCGCGCGGTTTGATACAACTTGTACAAATTTATAGGCAACTCTTGAACCTTTGTACAACTTTGCTGTAGAAAAGGTCAAAATCGTACGCCAAATCGCTTGTCGCATCCCATCGCATCGCAAAAGTTGAGCCAAGCTCAACTTCTGCGATGGCCCAGTTGCGGCAGTTGCGTGGGGTGCGACAAGGCTGCGATTTGGGGTTTTCCCGGTTTCGCGCCTGTCGCATCGCGTGTCGCATCGCAAAAAAAGCTTCTGTGAATCCCGCTTTAATTTGTACAAGTTGTATCAAACCGCGCGAATATCATGGTGACGTAGCCAAATCAGCAAGATTTTGTCGCATCACTGACTTCTTCTGTGAATGGTATTTCGCGAGTTCGCATCGCACGCGTCCGTCGCAGATCGCGTCGCATCGCGTGTCGCATCGCAAAAAAAGCTTCTGTGAATCCAGCTTAATTAAGGCCTTCTTACAGGGCTTTTTTGTGCAAAATTGTGTACATACATGTACAGTCGTCCCTCTCTAATCCGGCACTTGTTTATCCAGCACCCTTGCAAACCAGCACCCTTTCTGGCAAAACGGATTCTTTCAGTTCATTTTCTACGCTTTAATCCGGCACTTGAATTCCGCCTCCAGCAGCGATTTTCTGCAACAAATCTCAAACTGTACATAATTCGATTTTCTAATCCAGCAGTTGTACTTCGCATACTGTCAGGGAGCATTGTAACATACACTTGGGAATAGCAGTGCATAGGATATTCCCGGCAAGTGTATGTTAAAGACATGCATTCCACAAAGTACTTGGATTGACACAGAAAATCCCTATGTTTTGACATACAACACAAACATGTATGTTAACATGTGGGCCGGGTTGGAGGGCAGGATTTGATAATCCAGCACCCTTGGCCTTGTTTATCCAGCAGAAAATGCCGTTGCAAAAGGTGCCGGATTAGAGAGGGACGACTGTATTTCCACTTTTGGCCATTCCACGTACATATTCCAGGTGCGGTCTCTTTAAAAAGATTATAATCGAATAATCGATCGTTATGATCAATTAAAGAGTAATCGATTGGGCTAAATGGATGATCGTTTCAGCCCTAGGGCGCGTTTGGTTGGTACGAACTAGAACAGGATTCACCAGAACAGCGCGTTTGGTTGGGACTGCACCTGTTCTGGGTCGGCCAGAACATGTTCTGCTTGCTCCGGCCTCGAGGCCGGAGCAGACCGAGCAGTTTCACTTTTTCACAGTGAAACCTGGCGGGAACATCGATTTTGGTCCCAAATGATCACGTGCATACGCTTTTGGGTTGGATTCGTTGTACCGTACAAAGTGACCATGGTGACCCATACGCATTTTGAAGAATGCACCAAGTTTGGCACATTTTTCACAAAAAATGTGCTCTGTTTCTGGAGTACCGTTTGGTTGACATGAGGCTGCTCCATGTGCACCAGCTGTTCGATCCTGTTCTAGATCGTACCAACCAAACGCACCCCTATTATAACTATACTAGTAAACCATGCAAACGGGCTGAACACTGCCCCGGATGTGAGCTACATGTATGTACATTGGTATATACAGAAGCCTTGCTTGGTAGTTTAACATGTTTTCGGATTTTGACAGCATGTTACAAGGCGAGGACGCGTAGTGCTCCTGACTACAACCATAACCCGGTTGGCAGAGTCCCGGTCTTGCGACCATTTGAACCGTATTGGGAAAACCCAGGTTCGGACCCTCGTTACTCTAGGGGTTGGTTGGACTTTTAGAAAGTTTTTTTTGTGTTGTAGAAGTCGTCGTGTTGCCGCCGTAGTACAGCTGAGAGAAGGACGCCATGGGCAGAAGTTGGAAAAAGACAAAAAAAAAAGAGAAAAAGAACAATGAGAAGGAGAGCTCTGTGCCAGAACTTTGCAGCCTAGAGAGCGTGTGTGGGCAGGCGTGTGTTTACCGCCATATTGCCAGGTGTGTCTTTACCACCATATTTATCAACCATAAGTACAGCTGCAGTGGTGTCTTCAACTTCATTCTCCAGAACAAAAGAAAAAAGAAGTATAAATCAAAAAAATAACAGAGGAAGACAAGAAAATAACATCACAAAATCCTTTCCAGACGTGATCCCTGCAGCGGCAGCAACGCGACAACGTGAACGGCAACACGACGACTTCTACAACACAAAAAACGAAATTTTCTAAAAATCCAACCAACCACTAGAGTAACGAGGGTCCGAACCTGGGTTTTCCCAATACGGTTCAAATGGTCGCAAGACCGGGACTCTGCCAACCGGGTTATGGTTGTAGTCAGGAGCACTACGCGTCCTCGCCTTTGTAACATGCTAGGGAGGTTTAGTCCCACGTAATCCGTGGGTACTTTACGTGTGTGTACCACGTGATACTCAGTGACCCACGTACAGACGTTTTCTGATTTACGACATACCGTGTATGGAGGCTCACCCACGTTCCGCCAGAACGTGGGTGAAAATCAGAATGGAGCGCGCGCCTGATTTTGCGAGCTGTGAGGGTGCTCAGCTGAAGAAGTTTCCGAAGCACGAAATCAAAATATTCGATGAGCTTCTTAGGCCCGGGTAGCTTCGTCTTTGACCATGTTGACCAGGTTTGGGCCCGGTTTCGCTTCATGCTTTTGTTTGTTCCGTGTGACTAAACACAACTGACATTGCAACGTGGATGCCCTTCATCCACTTTACGTGGATCACCCACGTAGATCTACGCGTTTCCGTTACGTGAGAACTAAACCTCCCTGCTGTCAAAATCCGAAAACATGTATGTACAGTGCGTATCGGTTATAGCGTGGTCGTGTAAAAGAATATACTGCCTACAAGAATGAACTCTCATGTTTTCATAATCATAACATGGATTTCAAGTGCACATTTATTCTTACAAGCAATTTTATCCCATAATAGAATATATCGGTCCTAAGAATGGACTTTGTGTAGCGAAACATGCCAGATTAGTACAAAGTGTATCGCCTTTAGTAATAACATCTGTCCAATTCCGTTCTGATCTGACTCTCGTTGCGTCGTAGTGCTGCAGATTCAACTGTTGTGGTCATGTAACTCATTTTGCATAGCCACATGGTAAGCTTATAATACTATGGGACCAGCCACATGCACAGAAGTACTGTCACGGTCATCATTGTCATGTTCTTATTATTATTATTATTAAATTTTTGATAGGGCAATCCCCACAGGCCTAAGGCCTTTTGCCTTTATGTACGATGATCTTCCTGCCCCTAGGGCCCTGCGCAGTTAGCAAAGCCCGATTTTGCCAGGGAAACTTCGATATTTTGCCGCAACATTTTGCTCACTCATCGTCGATATTTTGCTTTCATTTTGCCAGGTCACTCGATATTTTGCTCCCTTTTTGCTCCAATGCAAGGCCAAATTTGGGTCACGTGTAGGAAAACTGACCGAAAGTGGGTCACGTGTTCGCAAAATGAGAAAAAAATGAGTCACGTGTTGGCAAAAATGTACGAAAATGAGTCGCATGCACCGTATAAGTGTAAAATCTCCCAATTTCCAGCGAACATACCGATATTTTGCTCCGTTTTGCTAGCAAAAATCTCTCGTCAAAATTCTTCGATATTTTGCCGGCAGAATATTATTATTGTTATTAGAAGCTTCTCCGCGTTGGCATCAATGCAATGTAGATATACACAGCATGTATAGCTTTCGCATAAGCCGAAGCGACAACAGCCAAACAGGATATTGATGGCGATATAAAACATATGCGAATTGCTAGCAAAATCGGGCTATGTCTACTGCGCAGTGCGCACATGCATGTGATATGCCACACTTGATTTATCGTGTGTAAGAAATATCGGAAATAAGAATAGAAAGTCGTTTTTCAAACACCCACGCGTGCACGCTAGTATAACCGATATCTACTGTACATTGTAGGCGCTAGCAGTAGCCGTTCTCATGCCAACCCTGGCCTGGACTGGCGCGGCCCATGGCGGGAAAAAAATCGGATTTAGATAGAGTACTGACGAGTGACGACATGTAGTGTGTCACGTTTCAAACAGTCATGCGACACATGATGGATTTTCTCAGCTCGTTTCGTTTTATGCGTTTGTTTGAATTATTTTCTTGAGTGTGTCTCATGAACAGTCAGGACTAGCAGTAGCAGAAAGAAGTCGATAATAGGTACAGCTGAAGTCAAGTGAGGATTTGGGCTGAAAAGTGTTGGACGACCAAGCTGCCCTTATGATTTGCAGGGACACTTTCCTCGACGTGTGTATTCGAAATGCCTCGTGAAATTATTTCGCTACATTTGGGCCAATGTGGTAACCAAATTGGCTTGGAATTCTGGAAGCAGCTCATCAAGGAGCATGGCATTAGTCCGGAAGGCATTCTGGAAGACTACGCTACAGACGGGACGGATCGAAAGGATGTGTTTTTCTACCAAGCAGATGACAATCATTACGTTCCTCGAGCAATTTTGATGGATTTGGAGCCTCGTGTGGTCAGCAGTATACAGTCGTCGCAGCACTCCAAGCTGTTTAATCCGGAGAATATCTTTGTGTCGGAGCATGGCGGAGGAGCCGGCAACAACTGGGCACGGGGATTCATCCAGGGCGAGGCTGTATCGGAGAAAGTGTTCGATATAATTGACAGGGAAGCCGACGGGAGCGACAGTCTTGAGGGGTTTGTTTTGTGCCATAGCATATCGGGCGGAACTGGCTCCGGCATGGGTAGTTTCATCCTGGAGCATTTATCCGATCGATTTCCTAAGAAGCTTGTGCAGACCTACAGCGTCTTCCCTAACTTGAACGAGCAAGGCGACGTGGTTGTTCAGCCGTATAACTCGCTGCTAACGCTGAGACGGCTGACGCAGAACGCCGACTCAGTAGTCGTTCTCGACAACACTGGCCTGAGCCGCATCGCGCAGGAGCGTCAGGGCATCGCCAACCCGACCATCTCTGACTGGAACAAGCTGGTGTCCACGGTGATGTCAACCAGCACTGCAACACTGCGTTACCCTGGTTACATGAACAACGACCTGGTCGGGCTGGTCGCGTCGCTGGTGCCTACGCCGCGTCTTCACTTCCTGATGACGGGCTACACGCCGCTCACCAACTCTGAGCAGACGACGTCGCGCGTGCAGAAGACCTCCGTCCTGGACGTGATGCGGCGCCTTCTACAGCCCAAGAACATGATGGTGTCGCCGCCGCGCCATGGTATTGGCGCGCTACAGCACTGCTACATCTCCATCCTGAACATCATACAGGGCGACGTGGATCCCACGCAGGTGCACAAGAGCTTGCAGCGCATACGCGAGCGCAAGGTGGCCACCTTCATCCCGTGGGGCCCGGCCAGCATCCAGGTGGCGCTGTCGGGTCGCTCGCCGTACGTGCAGACCGCGCACCGCGTCTCCGGCCTCATGCTGGCAAACCACACCAGTATAGCGTCACTGTTTGCCAAGACTCTACAGGACTACGACAAACTACGCAAGCGCAGCGCGTACCTGCACGAGTTCCGCAACGAGTCCATCTTCAAGGACGACCTCAGCGAGATGGACGAGTCGCGAGAAGTCGTCCAGGAGCTAGTCGAGGAGTACTGCGCCTCCACCAAGGAAGACTATTTGACGTGGGGGGAGAAGGGTGGCGGCTCATCTGCTACCGCAACCGCACACACCAGTGCATCCTCGGGTTCAGCCGCCGCTGCAAGTGCTGCTGCTGCCGCCGTTTAACTCTTGTTAACGTATTGTGCTGCCTCTGCGGCGCACGTTTTCCGGCTTCCATGTTTGATAATGTACAAATATAATAATTATATCGACATATAATACACGCTCGACGCGACACGTGTTCGAAAGATCTGCTTCAAAAATTCAAAAACCACTCAAGTCATGTAATTACTTCAGAGAACACGCTTTTCATTAGTACTATACTGTTTTGTGTTCTAGTTTCCACCTGTTATAAGTCCTGCTTGAAGACATTGATTTGTCATTCAGTGCAATGTATCAGCGTGAGCTTTGCTGAATTTTTTTACGCATTCAAACGATTCACAAAACTAGCAAGACACTCATCGTTGGATTTTTTTGGCAAATTAGGTTGACCCTTTTCTTTTCCTTTTTTCTTGAAATAAATATTTTTAGGACTGCTCTGTTTTAGCTTCATTCTGATCTGCACCAGGGACTAGTAAAAATGCCGGTATTTTACTACTCCTCAGTCTGTACATAAATGTATGGCGACATTTCCCGTGACTGTCACCCAACTGGTACGGTACCCTGCCGATTTCTTTGTACTTATCGTTCCGTGTATGGTTGCATGTCGCGTTGTGAGCATGGACCGTGTGTCTGGGTGGTGTGTAACTTGTGTGTGTGTGTGTGTGTGAGAGAGAGAGAGAGAGTAATGTGAGGAGGTACCATGCATTTACCAAGCAGTTTGCTTGTTCGGTGTTGTGCCTTATCCCCAGTAAGGAGCCATCCGTAAATAATAATAGCTGTTTAGTAACGAAAACTATGGACCGGCGCCGGTCCGGCGGATTATGCTCGAAAAGGTGGCAGATTCTGCTCGAAAAGCAGTGAAATTGGCAGAACCGAATTCTGCTCCATTTCTTTATCCACATACCAAACATGCATGAAACTTACCAGAAAAAGTACCGAATTCTGCCAATTTTTCTGCCGGCATAATCCGCCGGTGCCTAACGAAAACTAGTCGTTTGGGGGGAGGGGGTTGAGCGCCTGTTCGTTTCTAGAAATATTGATGCATAGTTTGTGTGTGTCGGCACGTCCAGAAAAAACGAAAAAAATATCGATACTATGATTGTACCGTTTGTACCGGTATTTGTTTGTTTCTCAGGGAGGGGGTTGAAGAGAAATGACTAGTTTTAGTTTCTAAATAAATATCGGCATTTACGGAGGGCCCCAAATGTGAGGGGGAATCGTGTATTTAGGTGGTGGTGGTGGTGTGTGTGTGTGTGTGTGTGTGTGGTGTGTGTGTGTGTGTGTGTGTGTGTGTGTGTGTGTGTGTGTGTGTGTGTGTGTGTGTGCCATATGGTGCAGTGGTATGTGCAGCGATTTCCAATCGATAGGTTGCGGGTTCGATTCCCGACGATTATGGTCACACACATCTTTCTTCTCTTTCTCAGACTCTTCCTGACTTTTCTTTCATTCTCCTGGGTGGTTACCAACAGCCAGTGCATGCCGGAGTATGTGGTGTGATGTGTGTGCGGAAAAAAATAATAATAAAAAAAGACCAAAAAGTAGGGATTCACTGGCCAGAAAAAGCCACTTCATAGCTGTGTGGTGTAGACCAGGCTGAATAGTGGCGGTCAATTCTTCAGCCTTGCAAGCTGTTGAATGGTGCAATCCCAGCACAAGCTGCTATGGCTTCTGTTGTAGCATCGCTATCATCGCCTCCGGCGATGGGCGTCCAATGGTCCAATGGTGTGTGTGTGTGTGTGTGTGTGTGTGTGTGTGTGTGTGTGTGTGTGTGTGTGTTTGTCCCATATGGTGGAGTGGTATGTGCAGTCGATTTCCAATCGAGAGGTTGCGGGTTCAATTCCCGACGATTATGGTCGCACACGTCTTTCTTCTCTTTCTCGGACTCTTCCTGACTTTTCTTTCATTCTCCTGGGTGGTTACCAACAGCCAGTGTATGCCGGAGTATGTGGTGTGGTGTCTGTGTGTAGAAAAAATGGAAAAATGAAAAATAGGGATTCACTGGCCAGAAAAAGTCACTTCAAACAGCTGTGTGGTGGATACCAGGCTAAAAATAGTGGCGGTCAATTCATCAGCCTTGCAAGCTGTTGAATGGTGTAATCCCAGCACAAGTTGCTATGTCTGACATAGCTGTTCGCTATCATCGCTTCTGCGATGGGCAGGTCTGAGGTCTGAGGTGTCATCCCTGGTAAACTGATTGCCCGGGCACAGTCTGTCCACTTTGAGTTGCTGGGTGTAAATCTCATTCTCAGAGTCAGTCTTTCTGTTGGTATGCTGGCTATGGCAGCCCGTGTAGTGGGTTAGGCCTGAAATCGCTCTTTTTCCATCTAAAACCACGAGAATTTAAAGGTTGAAATTTGATCATGGATGGATCATAATATCGTGACAATCTACTACATGTAGAGGGTTGTGGCGTTTCTATCATGGCTACGGATGTAGAAAACTCGGGCTCCAACCGGAGTCCCACACAATCAAAACAACAACAACAGTACAAACCGTGATATGAAAAAAATGATACAGTCGACTCCACACTGGTCAGACTGCGGCAAAATCGAAATAATCCTAGGATTATAATCCGAATCTCCATAGTAACTTGCCGCCAGAGCGGCAAAAGCGAGAGTTGACGCTCCAAAAAAAAGCAAGAACGGACCACGCTTTTCCGCTCCAAACAGGATTTGACGCTGATACGCCATTGACGCTGATAATCGAGGTATATTATGCTCGGCAGGCCGCGAAAGAGAGCCCGTTACCTGGACCCCTACTCGCGCGGGTAGAGCGAAACTGAGCACCCTGGGATGCGAGCAGCTTTTTAGTACTCCCGGGTCCAAAATCTCACCACCAGGCCGGGATGATCAAAACGTCTGCCGGGTCTGCAGCCTACAAACGTGGATCTGCCGACACTGTGCTGTCGACGACATGTCCGGCAAGGCACCTCCTTGCGTGAAAGCAAGGAACGCTTTTTTTTTTAGAAAGGAAGCTTCTTCTCCAAAATTTAAAATTTTTGAAAATTATTCCTTCTGAAAATATCATCGCGTTCTTGACCTCGAAGCTGACTGCTGAATGCGATTAGGAAAGAAGATTCCTGAAGATACACCAGACTGATTCTGGCAAGCCGTCTGTCGTCTAGATATGCAGTTGTTCGTCATGCATGGTCAGCAATCTTCCTCGTTCGTCCTTTCGTTTTCCTGACCACGATGATGACAAGCAGCTCTCATGCTCAGGTTAGTGCTGTACTTGTATGTCTGGGCACACAACACATCTGAGATTCACCCACTGACGTTATCGAACTGAAGAATGCAGCAAGGGTTCCTCGGATTCTCTTGATTTCGGAACAAATTTCCTTCACTTTCACCCTCTCAGTCTCTTCCCCATGCCCTCCATGCATGCACAATGCAGCTTGCATTTCAATTGCTGTTTTTTATACTTTGGCAGTGCCTCTGCTACACTTTCATATAGAGTGAGGTCCTGTAAATAGGATCGAACATTGTTGGTGGTGGTGTGTGTGTGGGGGGGGGGGGGGGGGGGGGGTACGTTTGCAGCCAGGATGTAGGAATGACACTTCTGCACAGCAGGTGGCAATAGTCAAAACTGGTCACTCTACAAATCCCATACCTGCCAACCTTTGCAAACCTGAGATCCAATGACATACCTAGGCATGAAAATGTATACAAAAGAAGCTCGCGGTGAGGCATGGAACTAGTGCACTTTTGGGTGCCTATTACCGCCCTCGATATCGGGACGGTCCCGGCCAAATCGGGATGGTTGTCAGGTATGAAATCCCAACCGAGAAAACCATTTAATTAAAAGATAAACTCGGCCAGGACATAGCGACTTTCTGTTTGCCGGGGGGGGGGGGGTCATCGTCCGCAATATTGGTAGAGTTACGATTACATTGTATATGTAGATACATGTGCATCAGGGATTCATAGCACCTGGGGAGACGACATGAGACCTAAGTACCCAAAACGTTGTGAGTTGTGACCCCGGATGGGGTAGTTCTACGTGATCTGTGTTTCTATAGACCTTATTCGATAACGTGATTTTTGGACTCGCCTCCAGGGATTTGTTGTAAGCTGGGGCACGCGTACGTGAAACGAGTGGCAAGAAAGGCCCAGTTTGTACAAGGGAGTAGTAAAATACCGGTATTTTTCTACTCCTATGTTCCCACGCCGAGTCCACTGTGCACTGAGTGCAGGTCTCTTGCCGCTCCCTGGTTCCCGGGACCCTGGTTCACGTGATTGTGACGTTTATTGAATAAGGTCTACATGTATATGCGGGCATGCATAAATCAACCCTTCCACAAGGACGGCTCAAACAGGCAGCCAAGGAGTGAAAATTTCGCTCCTGGGGCTAGGAGTGAAACGAAGGCCTCAATTTGCCAGATGAACCTTCTCCATCGAAACGAACGAAGGTGTCGAATAATTCTTTTACCAGTTCACAGTTGCCGTTCACGCGCACTCCCCGGGGTGGGGGGGGGGGGGGCTACTATGCACTTGTAGTGATACTTACCGTAAGCCAAGTGGAACACGACTAGTTGACTGCACAGACTACAGTACAGTATACATGCACATGTATACAGTGAAGATCAGTGCGTGCATGCCTGCCATAATCGTATGTTGACCTTCGTTCGAATTGAAAAGAGAGGGTCGTTTCGAAAAAGAAAAAAAGCTCGATGGAAGTATGATGCTGCTGACAATTCAAGACTCACTGAAGTCGCCTTTCTGGAATGGATCATGCACTCTAGGTTCATCCAATTGGATATGGACTCAAATCATTGTTACACCATTATTGTTTGGTTAGTTATTGTACATCCCATAGCATGTACAATCAACCTTGTGAATAATCTACCTCGGGTTTACAAAACAACTCGCAAATAACGACACAATCTTCAGATCTAGTGAACATTTGATTGCATACTTCCAACCTCACGAGTAACAACAATGCGAATAGCGACACTTTTCTCATTCACAATCGAGGGTCAGTATTCCCCAGGTTGACTGCAATTGCCAATCAAACAGGAGGGGCGAAAGTCGACCACGGCTGAAAAGGCATAAAGAAAAATTAATGTATATCATGAGCTAGATGGCTGAAGGAGGAAGTAGGTTTTCTGAGAAAGCAAGAAACAGAGGTGAATGAAGCACCAGGTCTGTCCATGCAGTGGATAGAATTATTGCATTGAAAGACAGGCTCTTTACATCAGCTTGCTACTATTATACCTACATTTGCTTTCTGCCTTTTTCATGCAGGATTCTGAAAGCTGGAGCAGCTCTGCTTACCTCGACCACTGAACTTACAACTAACTTCCAACCAAGTACAAGGCAATATTATGATGAATCAAGCACGCTTGCCATCATGTCATCATTGCAAAGTACATCGACAACATAGATTTGGTGCCGACTATGTATGATGTAGAGTGTGCTCTATGTATCTATACTACTGATTGGCCTACATTGTACTTATGTGGGCTGAGAGTAATCGATTGTGCTATATGGCAGTTTACTTGTATGTCATAGATGTTAACATTGCACACAGCTTCTGAAATGCTTTCTGTTGCACTGGCCTACTGCGGCCCACTGCAAAT